GAATTCAGATTATTTCGTCCTTGTTCCCGTGTAAACAACAAAAATGGAACGCCGTTTGGTCTAAACGAATTTAAACCATTTTTGGTTTCTTCCTAATTATTTAGGCCCCAATCATTGAACAACTTACAAAAGATATTCTACGGAATGTCTTGAAGACATCTGAAAAATGTACCGGCAACATCGTCTCAGAACGAGAATGTCACCATTTATGTTATAACAGTTGTGACCGTACTGCTTTGCAACTTCCAGTTATATTTAAGATATTTGCACTTGGATAAATTTACTTCCACTCTGTGTAGGTTCTCGTGGTGTCCTTTTACATTTACTTGCACTACTATCAGTAAATATCGCCTTGATAAACAAAACGCACGAATTGTTATTTCCAATACATTGTCGTAACAAAAAATGCCTAATCAAAACTGTGCAGTTCTGGAATAAATACATTTACATGAAGAATTCCAATGTAAACCTGCGACGTAGCAGTTTTGCTGCCCGGGGGTGGTCAAATTTTTTCCCTGTCTGAAGACAGAATAGATGCGTGAAAACCAGAGAATCAGCTCCGCGTATTGTGCACAGTAGTTTACGAAGAAACCGATGACCGTTTGGAGTAGTGAGTTAAGTGTGGTGAAAGTGACCACAGTGGGACTAGCAAGGGGATTATTGGAGAAAACGTCTGCACCGGTGTAACACATGACGCAAATATGTTACCGGTCATAGTGAGTAAAGTAAATATTCAACTCTCAGTTTATCCGTATATTTTGCCCTTTGTAGTTACTATCGAACAGTCGACGGTACGAAAAATGTCGCCGCTATCACTTGTCCCTTGGATCGGACCGCCCCCGTCCCCTGTGCTACTCCACTGAATTAAATCCTCAACATAACTCCGAAAATGCATCTAGGATACATGTTATCGGGCTTTTTGTCCACAACAAATTTTACATTTACATCCACAGTAAAGCCAAGATGATGAACATGATATGCTATGTGTTAACGGAAATGCGATATCAATTTTCAGAAAATCCGACCAGTAAAAGAGATCGCTGCCGTTTGCACAGTGCAGGTTTTATGTTAATCTGATTGAGACCTAAACCGTTTAGGAAAACAATGTCAATCAATACTAGCAAAGTAAATCAGGATCGTTTCGGAAAATGATGTTGCAACTCTCTTTAGTGGCTTTAAGTAAATAGCAACAGCAAACCGAATCTATATGCTGAAGGTCACGGCCAGATAATAACATTCACTAATTTGCATGTAAGAGCAGCGGTGCTTTCACCTACCTAACACGATGATAGAATACTTCCTTGGTTGGCTAACGAAATTAGTAACAAAGTAATTCATAGACAATTGAGTGAACCGCTAAAATTCAAAGCGTTATACAGCGCATCAACCAAAAGCGCTTGAATAAAGAATACTGTAGGGAGACAGTAAGGAAAGATATTTCTGTGTAGTTGGATCTAAAATCCTTCGGACATTATGACTAATTATGTTGCAGAGTATCCCCGATATTTTATGCCGTCAATGCGTTTTTCTGGGCATTCCTTTTATTCCGACAACGACTGTAGTACGTGCGGACCAAGTTGTTCCATATAACTACTGTCCCCTTCCGAAGCATAGTTGGAGGACTATAAATTTCACATCTGGTACTACAATCCTGAACTGGTCTTCTCGTTTGCTACTTGATGCGTGCATGCGGAGCGACAGTCTCAACATAAGTACCAAGATATAAGATCCAGGCATCATGAGGAGGCCAACCCAATGTCAGCGATGAGACAGGGTGTAAAGTCTTAGTCTCTTGTACCGGCCTTGGTACGGCACACCCCCTAAGCTGTGGAGGTGCTTAGTGACAACATGCTCTACTCGCTGAGTTCTTTCTACCTCACCTTGGGTAATAGGACAGTATGCTGGTGAGCAGTACTCTAGCTTCGGTAGCATGTTTGAGACGAAGCTGCTACTGGCGATCTCCTCGCGTCAGGTGTATAAGTTGCGTTGGAGCGCCAAAAGCATACGAAGCCCGTTTTGGTAAAGCCATAAACTTTAGGTAGCAGTGCAAGTGTATACAAAGGTCTTCCACGAAAAGCGTAGAATGCAACGGTTAACGGATAACGGTGTATGCTAGGCAATTGACCGGGTTGTTCGGAGTATTTACCTATGAAGATCACATGGAGAAGCGGTCAAGTTCACTTCCGGGAAGGTCACAGTCATGGGACTTTCTGCTAAATATATAAATAATATTGATAATAATAACAGTATTAATAAGTATTGTTAACTTAACCCACAGGTCATCTACGAACTACACCCAAGGCAAACGTAGAAACTGAGAAAAGCAAAAAGTCTAGTTAACTACTAAAGATAGCGCAAAAGTTAAACAGTTGCTTCAAAACAAACAGGGAACTATTATGCGGATGCAGAAAACCAAGCATAAAATTTATCTTGACTTGAAGGTAAGCGGATATAGGTGTTACAAATATCGAGTCCTAATGCACAGATAACTTATATTATGCCTTAGACTGAACAGAAGCGTGCGTTCATCTTAGGCTTTTATCCTGATTATTGAAGCATTTGCATTCTGCGTTTCTGTTCTGTTTAAAGGCAACATTAAATCCAAACTATTCTATAACACACTTACCGTTGTAAAGGGAATAGCTCTTGTCCGTCAACATCGATGAGAATGACATGCAGGGCTTATTTAGTAGTTGGTCGTTACTTTGCCTATAAATGCCACTCACTTTGAATTAGTAAGTTCTAGTTAGATTATTAACTTAATATATTTATAAAGCGAACTATGTTTTATTCTAACATAATCTCGGTTTTTAAGGTGAATAAAAGGTGTATAAAATTTGAGCCCTCAATATTTGCGTTTAATCGAACTTACCAACTCAAAAGTTACTAGTTTACAGCAAATAAGCATAGATTAACCAAGTCCACACCAACATCTCATTCAAACGGAAGTCTATCTATCATAAAACGTTACATACGTGGCGTGAGACAACGCGACTACTGCCCATTGGCAAACTGGGAGGTTGTGTATATAATTATTTTAACTGGAAATTCAAAAGCGATTGAACGTTTGTGAATGCTCCTAGCACTGAATGTCTAAGCAGCTTCAAAGTGGTAACAATTACAGGGGCGCACGATCGAGTATATTTTGCTTTCGCCCTAAGCGGCTATTATATCTGAACATGTCTGGGGGCATCCGTATATAGATGTACTTGTCCACTTGACTAAAAACAATCACAGGGCGTTTATGAACACACTAGGCATATGCACATAACTTGAGAACCAATGTCCCAGTTGGGTCGAAACTTCCACCTCCACCGTAGTGACTTGGGACTAGGCCGGATGAAGAATGTGGCTTAGAATCACCTTTGTAACCGAAACACACCATTGAAACTGACACAACACCATTGTTAACTCTGTGGAAACATGTTTGAGCGTTTGCACACTGTGGTCTCAAGGAGTAACCCGTTCTATGATGTCAGCAGCTTTGAGCCTAGCATTATCACTTGAGTTATGCACTCCGTTTGTCTCATTAACAATTATCAGCCCCCATAGAGTTACACTGTGGTAGGGTAAACCGTGCTATCAAGCACCTCGTTAACACATATCCGTAATAGCCGTAGCTGATGAGGAGCTCAAGAGCAAAGTTAGAGCATACGTACGTACTTGAGGCTTAAATCCTAATGAATGACAAAACTAGGTGTTAACATTTGGATATGCATGCCTGATTGATGGTATCTGTTACCAAAGTAGTATTTTTCCGTGGTTGTGAACACTTGCGTAACGTTTGTGCCCTTACAGTAGTTGCACTACCAACGGTTGCACCCGTCCATCATAAGAACAAGATAAACAGGAACAAAAGTGTGTTTGGCCCTGTGGTTTGTAGCCTGAAATTTTTGACACCAGATGCTTGTGTAAGACATCCTCTGCACGGCTATTCATTCATTATCACATGGTACTGGTATAAGTGTTTCTCGGGAACTTAGGTTGCTCGTTGGCAACCACTACCTAGTGGTTAAATTCGCACTTGTTTAAATTCGTTAGGCAGAGAGAACAACAATGTGACACGGTAGCAGGAAGTGTAACTTCCCAGCTGATCTAAGTATCCCGTTTGTTGAGGCCGCTTATCTCAATACGTCGGGTGTTTCTGAGTAAGTCGAACATTCGAGTTAACAGGCTCATTATCTTCGTTATAATAAAATACTTTACCATGACTGCAGTTGCCACTATGGTTGCAGCTGCTTACCTCATTGACATCTTTCCAATTTAAGACCACACTGACTTCAACATCCTAACTCACTGGTTAGAATAAAGCTTGTCCAGTTTAACTTTTTTACAAATCCTCGCTGTTCCAAAGTTTTGTGGATATCGATCACGGAAAATTCTGATTTTTGGTCCCAGTGGACTGGATTTAACTGCCATCCAGAGTCCCAAGATACGTCCATCAATTTGAGCAATACTCACGTGCGGTTTTTGGTGCATACGGCCGCACAAATTTAGTGTGCGTTTGTGCGTCTGTCTCCTAGTTAGACCAAAAGTGTTTTGGTCTTGTATACTCCACTGGAGGGCAAATTGGTTTGGCGCTAAAACAGCCCTATTAATTGCAAACAGTAACGGGATTTCTTTGAAATTTTAATACAATATTATGTAGGTTTCCACAATGCACAATAAGCCGTGTGTATAATAGGAAACAACCATAAGGCATAGCCGCGGTCATGCGTTTGCATGAGTAAGTTAAGGTATCGTTCGTGTCTCTTGACTAACACATCTTAAGATACACAATTTCTACTTCTGCTAGAGCTTTTTACGTAGTTTTCCCACTGGCCATATATCTCTCACTCTACCTTGAGTAAATTTTCTTGAGTTACTTTAGTCTAAATATAGGTTGGGCAGAAAAGCTTGTGTTATCCAGTTATAATGAAGTAAATGCGGGTTGCCGTCATTTATCAACGATACACATGTTATACTTTATCATGAGAATTGACACTAGTAACTAAGCACACCTGGTTTATGGTTGGCAGACAGTCCAGAATATTGAGCATCAGCTTTGCACCGTTATGTGAGAATCCCGGTAAAGTAACTTGCATTGCGTCGTAGAACATAGGATACAACGCGCTGGTGAACAACGGTTCCGGTAACTCCCGAAGAAAATCTTTGAACAGAGCTGGGTTGAAAAGAAATGCAAGCATAATTTATGGTAACTGGGTTTATGAAACGGAATAGGTGTGATGACGTGCATTTTCGGCATCTGGGAAAATGAACATACGGGAAAAACAACTCATTTTCTGCATCAACTATTGATAATAACGGCTTCTAGCGTCCACGAAACTAGTTGCTCTTTGCTAAAACACATGTTGGTTTCCGGGTCAGTCGAAGTGTATCTAGTATTCGATGGCACCAATTGTAGAGTCCAAAGATCATGGAAAACGTGATATGCTGTAGTACCTTCACTATATCAAGGTCTAATTGTCCAACCAACCTTCACTGCAGCTAGGCCGCACATTACTCTACTACCTGTATCTGGTTACACTTCCCTGTATGACGTTCGAATATGTTTGAGGTGCAGAGATTTTGTTGACAAATCCATAAACAACTGTACAGCTCAACGCTTTCCCCTACAAAACCATGCTACCTTCATTCAGAACCAAGACTATAGAACATGTGAGCCAAGGAGCAAAACTGTTTAATCTTAGGCGGCCAAAAGCGCTAACTCCCAAGTCACATATTATTTTATAGTATGAAATTTAATATTATGCTAAGCACAGAGTAGGCATTCAAAGTCACTGTCACGTCACTAAGCGTCCAAGTATTTAAGGCTACTTAAAGCCAGCAAGAGTATTTGTCGTGTTTAGAAGTTTAAGGTACACGAATGCAACGTTCGCAGTACAGCCATCGCAGCTTTCTTGGACAACCACACAGCTTGATCCCAGTCCAGGTGTCCTTCATTGAACGCGTCAAACTGTAAAACTGATTATTCTCGTACTTTCTACGGAAAAAATATTATCAGTTACTCTTCACGCGTACCAAGCAGTTTTGTACAGTGTCAGATTGAACTCCTGTACGTCAGTCAGGAATTACAATGAGCTGTGATTTCACTTAGTTCATTCATGTGAATGGAACATTCAGCCTTTGCGGCCGGTACGGAATGTGGTTTGTACTTACTGTGTAAGAGACCCCTTGAATTCATCGAGAAAATAGCTAACCTCAACTTTCTTAACAAAAGGATGATATAATTCAATGCCTAATCGCTGGTTACAAACATTCCCATGCTAAAAATGGTGGATTACTTGTGCGAGCTACTGAACAACCGCCAATATATACTGCTTTTCCGAAGGAGTTGTTTAAAGAGGTACCATTTCGGTGTAGAAGCTCGCTGCGAAGCGGACAGATCATGTAACAGAAAGGTACACGGTAATCACACATGGACTAGACCGTACGCTAAGTTGCACAGCGCAAACGTTAACAACGTCGGAAAAGTATAACCAGTTTTCTCGCTTTCAGGAGGAGCAGAATACGAATCGACCTTATTATGACCCATCAAACACTACACTTGAATCTCTTCCCCATACTGCGGTCAATATTCCAACTGCCGGAAGCCTGTAACGCTCGAGGACAACGCTAAAACTCAGGGTCCCATGAATGAACAATGTATCACATCAACTTTGTAGCAACTTAATCAAGAACGCGCTTTATGCATCCATGAAGAGTGAATATTCAGCTACAACATATACATCAGTGACAAAAAAAGCAACTAAAAATATGATAATGTATGTGGTGTGCCACCAATGTAAAATGTGGCAATGGTGATATCATCGATTCATTCTGCAATAAGGTCTCGTTTGACTTCATTTTGATCCATCAGAAAATCTAGGCTTGTGTGCGAGCATAAATGGCTTTGTACGTTTGTTTGGTCGAAGAATTCGAGATACATTCCGACAATGCACAATGGAGAGGGTGACTGGAATCCGTGAGTAACTTGGAAGAAGTTTTCCGCAGGAGCGCACATAATTACATACAATGATGCTGATAAAAACTGGCCTTGAAAAGCCGGTGCATCGAGCAAGATGCTTCAGCGACCTGTTGGTTGCTTTACCTTGCCCGTTTAATAGGATAGGAAATATCACAGGTGCGCAATACTTCCAGCGCGTTATTACGTATGCGGTGCCAAACCGTAGAAACAAGTAACGAGGCACGGATGAGAGCTTAAGTCATAAGGTAGAAAGCTGGTCTCCTGACTTTAGTGGATGCTTAATTCACTTGATGTGATCATGCAGAATCCCGGCTTAGCGTTACTCCGAGAGATTTCACTATTGTACAGGAGTTTAGACTGACACTGTCGTTACCTAGAAGCCGGTTGTGCGTCAGGAGCTGTTGATAACAATTTTCCTTGGCTAGCGAGAATAATAACGAAGAATCCTAAACATATAAAATACACTACCAGAAGGACTAATAGATGCCGATTCTGTGAAGTTTTTCAAAACACTTATAGAGATTATAGAGATTGATTGATATTGAAAACTGTACTTTTGTAAAAAGGTGCACTTACAAAGTAAAAACATCCCATACCCGGAAGTAATGACACCAATAATAATTCCAAACCGAGGAGGATAAACGAGCAAGAGACCAAACACGACAGCTGACAATCCGCAATTAAATGTATTTGCTTTTTCACAATTCCATAGAGTTGTACAGAAACCTTTCTACTTACTCTTCAATACAGTCTCAGTCTCCGTCTCAATATTTGCACTCGGGTTACTGTCAGCGAAGAGTTACAGAGAATCAGCGACGTATTTAGAAAAATAGTCATCTGACAAATTTATCATGAAGAACTTGAAGAAGCAAATCAATAGTCACCAAGATGCATTGCTACCAAGAAAAGTATCTCAACATATTAATCAGGAAGGGCGATTCGGCAGATAATATTTTATCTCGACACTTGAAAGATGCTCTTGCGAAAGTTATTTTTGCAGACCGCTTAAAAGTATTTAACGCAACATGCTATTACTCCCAAAACCCTAGATAGACAGGCTGCCCTTGTAAACCCATTCAATGCTCATTTATCGTTATTTGTGCTCCTGTGGTGCACGCTACCTGGGTCTCAATACAACACGCCTAGCGTAGTGGATTTGTGAGCACATTCCGGCATTGTTTTACAAAAGCAAAAGGAGGTCCTCAACCACCTCATTCATGTCGCGCCTCGTTGTCTGAGACCATACAGCTTGTGAGAATGAGTTCAAACTCATCTACTAATTGCATGATCGCTTCTCGCAAAGATTCCGAAAGCGACTGTTGTCTATTGCCAAAGCTATCTACCTCCACCAATTAAGGCCGGAATTATGTGTGCAAAAAGACCTCATACAGCCGATATTACTACCGTGGCTAACAGACATTGTCACTTAGCTATGTGCTTGTTACTTTAGCTAATTACTCTGGACTACTGAGGTCTACGTATTGATGTTCCTTTAATTCACTTGGCTTACCGTCTGTAGGTGTGTTTTTAACCATCGACTTTACCGGTAAAGCAGTTTAGAAATCAAGCGCAGCCTGATTTGACTCTTTTCCCACAAAAGCAGTACTATGTAAACGTTTAGGTCCAATGAGACATTGCTCAAAATAATTCTTATCCCTGAATTGATTTCTAGTATACATCCACTAAAGTCAGCAGACAAAAGTCTTGTGCTTCGAGAGTTAACGCTTCACCTGTGTCTCATAACCTGATTTTACGATTTATCATCACTTGCATATAACCACACTGGATGTATTGCTCAGCAATACTGACTAAGTATAGCTATGACGGATGTTCTTAAAATTGCAAATTAGGTTGTCCAAATACGCATCGATGTTAGTTATTCCCCCCATGGTGCATGGTAGGAATACAAAGCGCATTTAAAGGAACCCATTAGATAATCAAATGTCAAAGTTCGCGAACATGTTTTCGAAAATTCTTCATCAGGCTAATACAGTTATGTACCAATTACATCAATTAGACAGGCAGTTTTGGTCATTAAAATGGGGTAAAACAAGCTTAGTATAGGTCAGCTATCGCCAATAATCAGGTCGATGTCGGAGCATTCACGCGATCCAACTGAGTAAAAAGCACTATTCGATCGGACAAGGGCATCTGTAAGGTTTGAACAAATCACTTCTGCGTGCACAAGTTTAGTTCGTACAACCGTCTCGCATGGTTAGCGACTGGATGCGGAAGGGTATGTAACTCAGCCATAGTTGCCCACCTCGCTGACACAGGGGACTACCCTAGGTCAGCCGAAGCTTTCCAAATATCTAAAAGGCTCCGGGTTAATCAATACAGGTATATGCGCAGACGGGTACTAAAGGCCCGCTGAAGCTATAGCAATTCGGTTGTACGAACTAAAGTTGTGCTGTCAGAAACGATTTGTTCAGGCCGTACAGCTGCCCTCTCCCGATCGAGTAGTGAATTTTACCCGGCTGGATCGCATGACGGCTCCGAAATCAAGCTGATTACTGTCGACAGCTGGTCACTTCTAAACAGATTTTACCCAGTTTTGACAAACACAGCAGTCTGTCTATTTCGGTTTTCTCGACCAGACAAACGTACAAAGCCACCTTTTATGGCACATGGATTTATGGTATATCATTTGATCGCCAGTTTTGGGATCAATATTAAATCAACTAGGTACCGCTGGTCAAACTGATTCGATACTATCACTTCTGTCACGCTGCCTAATTTCAGACGCATCATATCCGTTATGAATACTGTTCCCAAAATTTTCTGTGTCAGTGGTGTGTGTGTTGTGGCTGAAGATACATTCTCCATAGATGCGTAAAGCGCATTGGGGATTTGATCTTGATTTGAATAAAATTTTCCTTATCCATGAGTTTCAATGGAAGTAACCAGCAGTCTGACATCTTTCTAGACGGATGGAGACCGTATGAGTAAAACCAGTTTCGATGAACTTTTGTCGAACGCCTGATTCTTCATACTACAACAATGGGTTTTGAGTGATGCCCGTATATGTATTAAGATTTGATCACTTTTCTCGAATGAGATTTGAAAATTGATGACAAACGTAGAAGAAGAAACTTGGAAATAACTTTTTGGCAAAATTGTGGGTTATATCTTATGGTCGGCACCAAAGGGATAAATGCTAACAGTGTAAAGCAGGCGGACGGTTAAAAAATGCTAAAGAATGAGTAAACGCAGCTGTAT